TTGCCTTCTTCAAAGGTAAATGTAGAAAATCAAATGACATTATTCTTTATTAGTATTTGTTTCTCTGGTCTTTTTTTTTTTTTTTTTTTAACCCTTACCTGAGGTTATATGTGGGGGTGTGTGTGTGTGTGTGTTTAATTTTTATTTATTTTTAGAGAGAGGAGAAGGGAAAGAAAAAGGAATATTCAATGAGAGAGAAACATCCATGTGAGATTGGTTGCCTCCCATACATGCCCTGACCCGGGATTGAACCCAGGTATGTACCCTGACTGGGTATTGAACCCACAACCTTTTGGCATATGGGGAAATGCTCCAACCAGCTGAGCCAACCAGCCAGTGCTGTTCCTCTGGTCTTAACATACACATTTTACCCCATTCTCTCTTTTAAAACTAATTTTTGTCTTGTTATTAACTGACTACATTTATTTGCTTTGATTTAAATTGAACAATAGAGGGAAAGAAGTAGAAAGCTAGTTAGCAAACAAGCAAGAAAACCACACTATTCCATGGCATTGTGTCAATCAAGGTCGGTCTCTTTTTTACAGTTTAAAATGAGCAATTTCTTAAAGGGATGTAACATTTCATCCTCTTTGGCATGGCTAATACCTAGAAAACATTTCCTGCTTTCTGTTTCGAAACAAGAATGATAAATTGGGTAAGGTTGGTGGAACTGAGCAGCAAAGCCTTTGCGGTGGTTGCTGTCACGTTCATAGAATATAAATGTTACATTGTGGTTGGAACTAAGTCGTGTATTCTCATGAAGGATGTGGCTGTTGTTTGGCTTGTTATTGTTTCACGGTGTACACAGATCATTTTTCCATGTCTGTCATTTCAGTACTGGCTTTTGATCAGTACTTGATTTGATTTTTTTTTTTTTTTTTTTTTTTGCAATGGTGGTGAAAAGATACATGAAACATTTTGCAATGACTTTGTTAAGTAGCCTGACTAATATTATTAAGCAAATATTATCATAAAATCTAGGAGTCATATAGAACAATCTACAAGATAAAACCACTAATTTAAGAGCTCAATTATTAGTATAACCCTATGGTGTGTTTTTTTAAGTCCTTTCATTGTTCTTTCAAAATACAAGCATAAGCTAAGCAATAAGAGAAGAAATATGTGAGCACTGAAAGGTTTTGCAATATTTTCAAGATATTCCTGGAAGGAGCTAGAAGGTATACTGCTGAATAAAACAAGTCAGTCAGAGAAAGACAAATACCATATTCTCTCATTTATATGTGGAATCCAGAGAACAAAATAAATGAAATTGAAAGTCTCATAGACACAGAGAGCGGACTGGTGGTTGCCAGAGGGGACAGGGGTTGGGAGACTGGGTGAAAGGGGTGATGACATTAAGAAGTACACATTGGTAGATAGAAAATAGAAGAATGTAAAACACAGCATGTAAATGTAGTCAGTAATAATGTAGTAATTATGTCTTGTGCCAGGTGGGTACTGTAAACATCAGGGGCGCCACTTCGTAAGATGGTCCACTGTGCTGTATATCTGAAAGCAATACAGAATAATATTGTGAGAGTAAAATCTAACTGAATATATGCAGGGTGTCCCAAAAATATATACACACTTGACAGCTGAAAGCTCAATGGATGTTTCTTTCTTTCTGGATTTAACCCATTGGAATTAATTATTGTTCAAAGTTTATATACATTTTTAGGACACCCTGTAGATATAATAAATTTCTATGAAATAGAGTCTGTTGAAAACAAAGGTTAAAAAAATAGAAGTATTGGCTAAGAAATGTACTAGCTGTTTCTTCTATTGAATAAATATTTACAGTACTTATTTTAAAATAAAGATATTTATCTATCACAGTAAAATATACTCAATTCTAACTTCATCCTTTTTAATATTAAACAAAAAGTTCTAAGACATAATTCCAGTATAAGATTATAATTATGCCATCTAAAACTAACCCTAATTCTACCACTAATCTTAGCTAATACTAGTGCTGTGCCTCACTAAAGCCTTTCATTCTAGGATTAACATTTACTCTCAAGCTGAATCTAAATAACATTTTCTTAACTATATTCCAAATATCAGCTCAGCATCCATAAAATCTGGAAAGCAAATAAGTTTTAATTCATATATAAATTCGGTCTGGAGGTGTAACTGGCCCTTGCCCTGGTCTGGACTTGGCTCCCTGAAGGCAAACAGTGGTAGGAAGTCATAGGTGATAAAAGAAAGGGTGATCTGCTTTGATCTTAGCTATGATAAAATGATGGGGTTTAATTCCTTACTAAGGTCAGAGTTTTCTTCCAAAGGGGATGGTAGGAAATCTTTAGGGAGGAAGAAGATAGATTTTTAAAATTTATTTTTCAACTTGATATGAGGATTCATTAATTTCCTACACATGAAAGACTATAGACAAATTGAAATGTAAAATCCCAACTCACCTTTTAAAAAAAATAAATTTATTGAGGTGACATTTGTTAATAAAATTTTAGAGGTTTCAAGTGTATATTTTACATGATCTGTATATTGCATTGTGTGCCTGCCATCCAAAGTCAAACCATCAATGTCCCTTTCTTAATACGAAAGTGAGGGATTTCCAAAGAGAACAAAATCCATCAGCTCTCAACGGGACACATTTTTTCATTTTATTTATCTAGGGATTTTATTTAATACATCAAATGTGGTTAATATCTGCCAATTGTTAATTTGACATAATCAATGGGTATTTCACAAAAATAAGGATTATACTTACAGTAAAACCTTTTTTTTTTTCTAAGCACATGGGCATGATCTTCAAGTAAGGTTGGGGAAATTATTTTTTAAACTGATTAAAAAAATTTGGATGATTGGAAAGAAACTAGAAAAAGTAAAATGAGCTTCCAGATACTGTCAGTCAGCTTCATCAATTATCAAACTATGGCTAATCTTATTTAATCAATTAGATAATATGTAATCAATTACAATTACATATATAGACATATAAAGATATGTCTATATAACATGATATAATGTTGAATAAAATATTTTTTAAATAAAGATATTTCCAGTACCCACTTGGCACAAGACATAATTATTATTTAACATTATATCATGTTATATAGACATATTTTTATAACTTAGTGATGCTTGATTTTTAAATCAGCTTTGTTGAGATATGTTAAAATGTCATAAATTCACTAATTTACAATAAACTATTCAGTACTTTAAATATATATATATATATATATATATATATATATATATATATATATATACTGTATTGATTTCAGAGAGGTAGGGAGAGTTAGAGAGAGAAACATCAATGATGAGAGAGAATCAACTGATTGATCGGCTGCCTCCTGCAGGTTCCCTACTGGGGACTGAGTCTACAACCCAGGCGTGTGCCCTTGACCGGAATCAAACCTGGGACTCTTCAGTCTGCAGGCTGACACTCTGTCCACTGAGCCAAACTGGTTATGGCTTCAGTACCTTTAGCTTTATTTATTGAGTTGTTTTAGAATTACCACGATCTAACTTTTGAACTTTTTTCCCACTCTGAAAAGAAACCCCATTCCCATTGGCAATCACTCCCCAATTTAATCCCACCCACCAGCCCTAGGCAATCACTAATCTATTTTTTTTTTTCTGTATAGATTCATCTATTCTGAACATTTTATATAAAAGGAATAATAATATCTTGTCTTTGTGTTGCTTTCTTTTAGCATAATATTTTCAAGATTCATCCATGTTGTATCATGGATCAGTACTTTATTTCTTTTTTTTGTAAACAGTATTTTTATCCACTTATCATTTGGTGGTCATTTGAGTTGTTTTCAATTTTCCTTATTAGAAATAATGTGCTATAAATATGTGCAAACATTTTTGTGTGGATTACTTTTTATTTCTTTGTGTAAAATTGATGCCTAATAGGGCTATGTATTTTTTTTTTTAAAGGTTAAGAATCTTTTGAGGAACTGTCAAACTCTTTTAAATTGATAGCACCATTTTCTCTGTCTTTTTTATCTGTCTCTTTGTCCCTTCAATTTAAGAAAACACATACAAAAAAACCACACACACAAACAAAAACAAAACAAAAATGTTTATTGAATTAAATTGATTCTTAGCTATAAAATGTGCAGTGTTATATAGAATCAAGTCTAGGTACTATGTTTAAATTAGACACCTAACACATATAAAATGAAGATGCATTTATGGTGATTAAATAAAAGAGGCAAATCTGTAAATACTAGAATATGCCCCAAAGTAGTTTTCTTGTCACATTTCTCCTGGTTTTAAAGAAGATGACTTAAACAGTAGGAAGCAACGTAATAGAGAAATGTTCCACTTTTTCCACTCCACTTGCGCTTGGGTAGTTGAAGATAAACCATTGGAAGAAATGGTGGCAATGATAATAAAATCATTGAGCCTAAAACGACTTGCGTGTGTGATTGTAAAAGCCACGGGACATTTTCCCCCAATAATACAAGTTAACAAAAGATATTCTGCTAGGCGACAGAATTTATCAGAGTTTTTAAAAGAGTCTATCTAAGGATGACTGAAGTATAGCGATTTTAAGAGAAATGACAGGCAGATGTTAATGATAAATATAATTTTTCATACTCTATGTCCTCTAACTTCAGAATTGTGGTACATTTTATACACACCATTATGTAGTGATACAGGATCAGAGAACACTTTTAAAAATAAGCGTATCTTCTCACTGTTTACATTTTTTATTCTCTTTAACTACTACTATGGGATATTAAAAAGCACTGCAGTCCCTTTATAGCTATATAAATGCAGTGGGTTAAATTGTCCAAAGTGGTGTATGTCTCTATTTGATATAAAATCTATGCTGCTTATTCCTGTAGAATACAGAGTAAGGGAAACAGTGACTCAAAACTTTTTATTGACACAAATAACAATAAATGCATTTTTATTCAAACTGATATAGTTGCAAGAACACAGTGTTCCCTTCTGGTTTTTTAAAAATTTAAACAGAATATTTTCAATTAGATGGTAACATCCATGGTGCTGCACGCTCACTTTGGCAAACAGATAGATACTGAAATTGTAAATGATACAGAGGAGATTAGCATGCCCCTTGCACAAGGATGACACATAAATTCATGAAATATTCCATATTTAAAAAATAATTCATACGTTGCAAAAAGGATGTGTTCAGAGTTTAGGAAAAAGTTTAAAGTCCAGCTTGACTGGAAATTAGAAAGGAAGTTTACTTTCCTCATGTTGTTAGTTAAGAACCAGTGAGAAAATTTTATATATATGCGCCAGTAAAACTCATTCCTTCATTTGTATTTTATATTTATACTAGAGGCCCGGTGCATGAAAATTCGTGCACTGGAGGGGGGTGGGGAGGGAGGTCCCTCAGCCAAACCAACTCCCTCTCACAGTCCTACTGACAAATTAGGCCTGCTCCCAGGGGGAGCGGGTCTAAACCACAGTCTGAGCTCCCTCTATGGGAGGCAACCGGGCTGATCAGGGGAAGGCACCAACCACCTCACCCTGCTGCTGCTGCCACTGCTAGCTGTAGTGACTGTGAGGCCTGAGCTCCAGGCCTCTCAGCCTCTGGGACTCATGGCTGTCATGAGCCCTGAGCCTACGGCCACCAGGGGCTCAAGGCTGCCTAAGCTGGACCTCAGATTTTATATCAAATAGAAACATATACCACTTTGGACAATGTAAGCATGAGCCCACGGCTGCATGATCCCATGGCTGTTGTGAACTCATGGCTGCTGTGAGCCCCAGGCCTCACAGCTGCTGGGGCTCAAGGCTGCCCAAGCCCACGGCTGCCAGATTCCCAGGTTTTGTCAGGATGGAATTCCAGTTGGACGTCTTGTTAGAAGGCTGTCCTAATTAGCATATTAACCTTTTATTAGTATAGATATTTGAGTGTGTGTACATATGCATATGTATCTCTCTGTGTGTATGTTTTATTGCTAAGGATATATTTTATAGGACTGTCGGGAATGGGTTGCCAGAGCCAGTGACAGTGAAATGTCTGAGGGAGAGGCACAATTTTGGAAGCATTATTAGCTATAATTTTCAGAGAACATGAATGAGTAAGCTGCCCTGACTGGGTGGCCCATTTGGTTGAAGTGTCATCTTATACATCTAAAGATTGTGGGTTCCATTCCCAGTCAGTGCATATGCCTGGGCTGCGTGTTCAATCCACTGTTGGGGCAAGTATGGGAAGCAAGATATTTCTTTCACATTGATGTTTCTCTCCCTTTCTCTCTCTCAAAAAAAATCAATGGAGACATATCAGTGGGTGAGTATTTTTTAAAAAGCCCAGCTGCCATGGCTCAACACAGACCTATGAACCTGTTCAATTCTCAGGGCACATGCCCAGATTGCAGGCTCAATCCCCAGTGGAGGCACGGGGGGTGGGGGGGAGGGTGGGGGGAGGCGTGGAGGGCGGTGTGCTGGTGGCAGTCAATCTATGTCTCTTCCAATCTGAAATCAATAAAAAATATATATTATATAAAGGAGCAAAGGGAAGGCAAAAGAATAGTCATAGGCCCAGTAAAGTCTGAGTGGCATAGGGAAGGTACCAGTCTGTCAGTCAGACCTGGGAACAGGTCATTGGCCAGAGTAGGCATGGCCACAGCAAGCACGGGAAGATTTGAGGTATATCATCTCCTAAATAAAGGGGTTCTCTCTCTTGGGCCTCTTGTTGCAAGGGGCAAACTCTGTTGGTTCCCTTGCATTGCACATGATTCGGGGCCATTTGGACCCTACACTCAATGGACAGACGAATGGACTCCAATTAGCCTAATGCTAAACTGGACCCAGCTCCACCATGGAACAGAAACGCTGGGCCCTGGCTTTGCTTTTAGCTCTGCTGAATGCCCAGCTGCACCTCTCCCAGGACTGAATGAAGGGAAATGGGGCTTTGCAAACTCAGGGATGTAATTCCATGTAAATGAATAGTACTATCCTCCTGTACAAGTCTCAGAAAGTTCTTTTTCTCAAGATATTAAATCGACCTGACCCCAAACACCCAGTGGAGGAGGGGATCTACCACTTTCACCAATAACAAAAAGGATAAATAAATGTAAAGTTTTTAAAAATTCCACAAACCTAAAATATCATCCTTCTTGTATTTACCAAATATAATGCAAAACAATCTGATAGACTGTGACATCAAAACTCCCTGCCCATGCCCCAGTTCCACTATTTCTTTTTAAGTCTACATAATATGAATGCAGTTTTCGTAGGTAAATGTTTTGTAATAATTATGAGCAAAAACAAGGCGGCACCATATTGTGTGATAGTTTATGGATATGTAATTATGCTCTGTGATACTTGACAGCCATTTTAAACATTTTATATATTAGTATATTTTCTAAGTGCTCACTTCTAAAACCCTGGCTGTCTAATATGATGCACTTTGCTACCTCTGCATTTATTCTGAACTAGTGTGTTTCAGAAATGCATTTGGAAGACAGCATTGCATCTTTATTTTTGAATATTCTAATTGTTATAAAAATTAGAATTTTTTATGCCCTTCTGTGGAAAGGAAGGCAAACTCATGCTCATTGTCTAACTGAAACATTGGGAAATGATGCTGGTAGTTCAGAAACGTATGTCTTGTTTTTAATTTTTTCCCTCCTCTTGCTGTCAGCTTAACCAGTTTGGTCAATAGATTAGCTTTTCCCCAGCCAACAGTGCTAAAATATAACCGACAAATGGTAGCCAATATATCAGTCTTCTAATTCAGAGACAATTTTTTAAAATACATTCCAGTCAAACCAATGCCTTCTCACCCAGGAGAGTCTGTGGGTTCCTTGTTTCATAAATTCCAGTGCCAACTTGCTTCTCCAATGTCTCCCCATCTTCTTCTCTCTGCTGCGTCTTAATTAGCTGTTTACCTGTTTCTTTTCTGTCATAGCAACTCTATTGGATAGGACTTCTGAAACCTCCCAAGTGCCCACATAATTTATCAGTCGGTGCTCATTGGGGCTCCCTAATCCTCCTCAGGCATGGTTGGCTCTAAATCGGTCAGGTCCTGGGGTTAGCTACTTGTTATTGGTTTTCCCAGTAAATATCCCTTGTGGCAACATTAGAGTAGGTGTTCAAACTCAGTGTAAAATTGTAGTGCAAGACCTAACATAATTTTAGGAATTTATCCTGAAGAAATAATTGGACATGTGTGTAATTTATCAATGAAATATCACAGTTGTATACTCTGTGATTTTATTGTTTACACTTATGAACAATGGGAAATATCCTATTTGTTTAAGGATAGAAGAATGATAGATTGCAAAAACTTTATTAGAAATGATTATGTAATATTTAAGCATATGCAGGTCCATTTATTGACCTGGAAAGATTGCCATTATAGATTTACTGGGGGAAAAAAAGCAATAAAACAATATGTATAGAATGACTCATAATAATAAAAATTAATATATGTGCCTGGTGCACAAAGTTAGTGCACAGGTAGGGTTCCTAGGCCTGGCTGGCAATCAGAGCTGATCTGGGCCTTCTGGCTGCCAGCTGGGGTCTTCCTTCCAGCTGCTGGCCCTGGCCACTGGCTGGGGCCTTCCTTCATTTCGCATCACCTCCTGGTGGTCAGTGCATGTCATAGCAAGCAATCAAACTCCTAGTCTCCCTGTGGAACTCTCAAGGGGACAGACATTCTCAAGAAGAGACTAGAGACCCATGCACAAAATGTATGCACTAGTATGGTCCCTAGCAGCTGCCTATTGCCAGCCAGATACTCTCTGGCTGCCGGCTGCCACCTCTGATCTGGCCTCCCTCCCTTCCTCTGGCCAGCCCTGCCCCCTAGTCAAACTCCCAGATGAACTTCAGTCAAGGGGACAATTTGCATTTTATGCTTTTATTATATAGGATGGTAGAATGTAGGTGACTTTACAAAAAATTCTTTTGTGCAAATTTATTTTTTAAAATGAACATTCACTATGTAATACTGACTTGTATAATACTTGAAAACTTTTAATTATGTTTCTGCTCTCCATCTATAAAAGTATTTTATAAACTCAAACATTTTCCTATTTATCGATAGCTTGCATGCTATTTCTTTTTTCCTCCATGTTGACCTAAACCTCTTAAATTATTTGTCCTTATTTTTGTTTTCATTTTCTCACTTTTAAATCATTTATTGAACAATTCTAATTATTTTAGCCTACATTACTTCATGGACATTTTCTCATGAAAGTTATCAATAAATGCTTATGGCTAAGTCATGCAATTTTAAAAATTCTTTATTTCTCTTTTCCTCTTCAAACTAGGTGTTTCCATGACCCCTTACACTCTCATGTCAAATCATGTGTGGATCTTTAACTACATTTCTTTCCTCCAGTTGAATCATAAGCTCCATAGAAGCAGGAAACAATAAATTTTATTCATAACCCCAGACCCTAGCCCAGTATCATGCATATAGCAGATGTTTAATAAATATATATCAGCAAATAGAATGAATGGGTGGGGAAGTTTCAATGGGAATCTGATCATTCTGAATATTTTTTCATTGATATTCTACTCTAGTTTCAGGAACCTAAATAATTTTAATGTTATGTATCTCAACAAAGACCCCATTTCCCAAATATAGAGGAGAAGAAAGTCATATTCACAGTATTTTGTCAAAAAGTGGGCTAGAGGGAAGTCTAGTTTTACAACTTAATAGAGAGCAAGCTAGGCCTCAGAATGAATGTGTCTATTTCCCAAACTCAATGGTGGAGCTGGAAAAGAAAGCCTCTCCCCACTCATGCTCCCTACCAATCAGACACATTCTATAAGAGTAACTTGCACACCTGTAGATGTGAAAACAACAAAAACACAGGGTTGTTGTGATTTATTGAACTAAATCACACCAGTGACATATAACTGCAAAGAATCTGATTAAAATTGGATGTTTCCACTTGCCAGCTGGATCTATTATTTACAATGAGGGGTTTGATCTTGTTTAAGCTGAGTTCCAAAGCTCCCCCCCACTCCCAGGTCACTGACAAACTAGTACTTTGAAGTTGAGAAGAGAAAATAGTCAACATTCCCCTGCCTTTTCTTCCTGGCTCTGTGTTCGGGCTAAAAATTTGGGCTTCTGCCCTGACCAATTTGGCTCAGTGGATAGAGTGTCAGCCTGCAGACCGAAAGGTCCCAGGT